TCTGTCTGTACAGGCGGGCTCAGCGGCGCGTCTGCCAGACCTGTGTGGTTGTGGCCGGTAACCGGCTGTCCTGGTGTCGGCAGAGGTGTCCCCGAGAGCAGCTCTGTTTTGTCACTTTAACGTCAGCAGCCCTGATGGCCCAGTGGCTGCTAGCGTGTGGTTCCCACTTGTAGTTGCGTTTGCCTGCGGAACAGAAAGTTCTGTGTCCAGAGCTGGCCACGATGCTGTCGCTAAGAGTTAGGTCTGGTCGGTAGGACAACGGGTCTTAAATCCACTCACCACTGGTGACTCAGCTTTTCGTTACCACTCGGCAGGATCCTTTTAATCTGAGCCCTGGCACCCTTCCCAAATCGTACTGGGTAGTCAGGCCCCAGGAGGGGAAAGTAGTCATCCTGGGTCAGGTAAGAGCAGGCTTCCTGGTGTTTCTTTTGTCTGCTCTGGGGGGTATGTAAGCGTGCGATGACTCTAATTCTTAACAGTCTGGGAGGAGTGCAGGGCGGGGACAGAAGCACCCAGCCCACTTGTGTGAGCTCAGAGGCCTGGGAGGGTGAGGGGGAAACCAGCCCTGAAATTGACTTAATTGCACCACGTCACTGAAGTCAAGAGGAAGCTTTCCCAAGGTTCTTAGCAGGAGGAAAAGTGTGCGCGGGTGTGTTTAGTGAATTTAAACATCAAGTATTTAAAAAACATGAAGGAATTAGAGAAGAAGAGCAATTTGTTGTCACGTCGCTATCTCTTTCTTTTTTTAAACACAGCCACGGTCTCTCACGGAAGAGCTCCTTTAAAACTAGATTTTGGAAAGGGGGGCCGGCAGGATGCCCTGTCACCCCACGTGCTGGGGCCTGCGCTCTTGGCCAGCTGGCGCGTGCTCAGACGAGAGTGCACGGCAGCATGCTTGATCTAGAGTACAACCTGCCTTTGTTTGGGTGCAGCCGGGAGGGAGGCCGATGACATCGTGAACTGGCTGAAGAAGCGCACGGGCCCCGCCGCCACCACGCTGGCCGACGGTGCTGCTGCAGAATCCCTGGTGGAGTCCAGTGAGGTGGCCGTCATCGGCTTCTTCAAGGTAGAGGCTGGAGTAGCACCCCTGACCTTGTCTTCCCACGAGGGTCCCGCTGCCCATCCCCAGGCCCAGTCCTGCCATGCCCTTTGTGGGTGGGCTGTGTAGGGCTCTGTGGCCAGCCTGTCCCTCCTCTTCCAGGATGTGGAGTCGGACTTTGCCAAGCAGTTCTTGCTGGCAGCAGAGTCCATCGATGACATGCCATTTGGGATCACTTCCAACAGTGACGTGTTCTCCAAGTACCAGCTCCACGAAGATGGGGTTGTCCTCTTCAAGAAGGTAAGGTGTCAGGCAGCCCTGCCCAGTCATCCAGGTGATGATCTGCGGGGGGGTGTCTCTTTGCTATTGTTGGGAAGAACCTTGCCCCCAGGAGGCCCTGGGGCTGCGACCCAGCCGAGAGTGCCGTCCAGGCCCTGTCTGCAGCATGGAGTGTCACGGCCACTTAAGCTGTGCCTTCAGACCTCAAGCAGGGCCTTCCAGGTCGTCTTTTCTGGCGGCCAGCGTGCAGCGTTTGTAAAAGGCACAAATGGACCTGCTTCTGAGCACTGGCTTTTTGGGGGAGTGTGCCCAATGCGTTGGCAATGTCCCACTCCTCATGCCCCAGCCCCGAGGGCTTCTGCAGACCCCCAAGATCCAGACTGAAAACCGCCAAGCTGGCTGTTGGGGCTCCTGGGAGAAACTGCCGTCAGGCTTCAGTGCTGATCGGCTGGGCTTCCTGTTCGCACACTGTCACTGATAGGGGTGGGGGCGGGGGGGCGCTTTTTTGTGCCTTTTATTTTAGTCAGCGGGAGGACTGTCGCCCGGCGGGCAGGTGGACGGGTGCTCGGGCAGGTGGACGGGTCGAGCACCCTCAGTCTTGGAATATGGCGCTATCTGGATGCAGGTGTTAGCGTGCACTAAGATAGCAAGGTGCCAGCGGAAAGGGAGAGAGATCTGTGAGAGGGCAGGGGTGGGGACCGGGGTCTTTGACCCCATCCTGGTTTTCCCAGTGGAGAGGAGAGGGTCTTCGGGTTGGAGCAGGCTAATAAGCTGTGTGTGAAAACAGATGCATCAGGTCTGGAGGTCACTGGTGGCTTTGCAACCTGCCTGCCTGTGATCTCGGGTCATGCTGAGTGCACCTCGTGTGAGCCAGCGGTTGGGTGCTGTAGAGGTGTTGGTGGAGGTGAGGGACAGACTCCTTCCTCAGTGATGGCCCCCTGCTTGGCGCTTGGTCTGGTTCTGTTGGGAGAAGGGCACCCAGGTCTCTTCGCAGACCCAACACCCGTGGGTGCAGGCGGCTTTCTCTCTGGGCACTCTCCCTCGCTGCATGAGAGAACACTAGGCATTCTGTCCTCTTCCTCCGCCCCGTAGAAATGCTCCCTGTGTGGCCGGAATGAACCCGTTGTCAATGCAGAGGTGCTGAGGTTGTAATTAGGCATCTGACTAGTGACAGTTGTGGATGGTTAAAGTTGAGAAGTAGCAGAGCTGAGTTTAGGTTTCCAGAGTCTTGGCAGGTCCTCAGAGCCCTGTGGAAACGTGGAGCCCAGCTGTTCTGTTTCCATTGCTGTTAAACCCAGAGAGAGGACTTGAACCCTCGACTGAGGGCTTGGGTGCTTGTAGGCCCTTCTCGAAGGTTGCAAATGAGGATTGGTTCTTGCTCCTGCCGGCAGAGGACCTGGCACGCAGTAGATCGCCTTTCCAGGTGATTGTGTGATTTTTTTCCTGCTTGAGAGTGTCTGCACGGCTGGGGTATGGCACACCTACTCTGGCGGCAGTGCGTCCCCCAAGCTGGGCAGCTCAGGCAGTGAGGGTCGTACAGCGTGGTTGCCTCGGGCAAAGGTGCCAGAGCCCTGGACTTTGCTACCTAGTAAGTTATGCTGCTGGGCCAGCAGGGGGCACAGCTGAGGCAGGACAGCGCTCCGTGTGGACAGGCAGCACAGAGCACAGACCCTCCAGCCCCACTGCGGCCATCCTTGTGCACTCAACCCTGTGCTGCCACCTCGGGCTGTCAGGCCCAGTTCCTCAAAGCGAGCTGGCCTTCCCGTCTGTGGGACCAGGCGGCGGGCTGGGAAAGATGGTGCTGGGGCCATCATTCCCTGGTGATGTGACCGGTGATCTGGTGAGCTGATCGTCCAGTGTCTGTCCCGGCGTTTATGTCTCTTTCTCGTTTAGCACAGCTAGGATGGGCTGTGCTTGTTAGCAAGCTGTCAGCAGGGCCATGCCACCCTCAGCAGCCCAGAGCACCAGGCTTTCTGTGGCCTCTGTGATGTGGGCAGGGCCCTGCCTCCTGCCCCCTGCCCCCTGCCCCCTGCGGTGCCCGTTCTTCCCAAAGTAGATCACGAGCCTCGTGTGATATGGCAGCCTTCCTGAAGGGTTCTGGTCTTGGTTAGGTGTGGCGCCTCTGCACAGCTTCACAGCATGGGGGCTGCAGACAATGCTGGGGCTCCAGGGAGGCTGTGGGGCTCGTGGGGGTTCACATACCCCCTAATTACCATCTAGCATGATTCCTGGAGAAGGTAGGTCTCTGTCTACACTGGGCCTGCTGAGCCGGTTCAGCCAGCAGCCTGTTTCCCGGAGGAGCCTGGAAGGACCTGCTGGTCCTGCTTCTTCTCCCCTCTCTTATTTTCTCTTCCTCTGCGGTTCTGGAAAGCAACGATAGACTTGAAAGCCCCGGTGCCTGGAGCCTGTGGGAGTGTGGCGCTGTGTGTGCCCTGCTCACGGTGGCCGGCACGCAGTTGGCAGGGCCGGCATGTTTGGCGGCGGAGTCCACATGTGCGGCCGCGGGGTGTCGTTCTGCAGAAAGCGACAGGCGTAAGAGCTGCTCTTCTGGAAATTGGTTGAGGAAGTGAAGCAAAGGACTAGCAAGAGAAGGCACCCGTTTGTCTCTGAACCCGTGCGAGGGGCCTCGGGGAAGGAGGAGGCGCTCCGGGGTGAAGTCTCAGCGCCTTGCGCAAACGGACTTCCTGCGTTTGTCGTTTCTGTTCTGCCTGCTAAGGAGGCAGCAACTCAGCTTCTCCGTCCCCTCCCGAGGCCGGCACCCCGTCCCAGCTCTGAAGTGACAGTGGCTGATACTGCTCAGCGCTGGTGTTCCACCTCATGGGTTCAGGCCCCTCAGACGTCTGCAGGTCACAGGACTCACTCCGACGAGCTTCTGTCAGCGTGGATTGTAACTGTCGATCTTTGTCGTATTAGGAACTTAAACTGAGAAACTTTAAAACTCAGGATGAGTCCGGTACGCGTTATCATAAATGACGTGTTTTCACAGAAGAGAATCTTTCCCGGACAAGAGTGTCAGTGGTGAGAGGGGCATTGTTTGGTGATTTCCTGGAGGTCGGCTGGGCCCTCGTGCTTGTGGCGTGTGGCCTCAGAGAATCGGCTGTGCGCTCTCGAGAGGCTGTTAATGGGATCGGGCAATGGCATGTTCATGTCACAGGGAAGTACTGTGACCTTGCAGGCCCTGAAGGGGTCGTGGGGGCCACACTGTGCGAACGGTCAGGCACGTGGCACTGAGGGGGTAGTTAGATATGACATTAAAGCCACACACGTTCCCGGCACCCCAGGGTGGGGAGGTTCTCAGAACTGCAGGCAGAAGGGAGGTGTGAGCGGGTCATGGAAGGGCTCCATCTGCGCTGGCTCCGCTTTGTCACGGGACAGACCTGCGGGGGGAGCCGCCGCCGGCCCAGGCTTGGGCGCACCTCGTCTGGTCCGCTCGCCGTCCTGGGTGGGCCTTCCTCCCTGGGCCCCCGGCCATCATGGTGCTTCCTCTGCGGGATGCGGCAGGTGGGGGCAGGGCGAAGGGCCAGAGCACCCAGGCAGGGAGCAGAGCTGCCTGCCGGCCGAGCCTCGGGCAGACCTGCAGTGCCCCGCTCCTGACACTCTTCTGTGCTCAGTTTGACGAAGGTCGGAACGACTTCGAAGGGGAGGTCACCAAGGAGAACCTCCTCAGCTTCATCAGGCACAACCAGCTGCCTCTGGTCATCGAGTTCACAGAGCAGGTGGGCCACTGGGGCTGCGGGGCAGGCGGGGGCGCGGGGGGCTCCCTGCTCTGACTCAGCTCACGGCTCAGACCAGTGACTGACGTTTCTAACACAGACAGCCCCGAAGATTTTTGGGGGTGAGATCAAGACGCACATCCTGCTGTTCCTGCCAAAGAGCGTGTCCGACTATGAAGGCAAGCTGAGCAACTTTAAGAAGGCGGCCGAGAGCTTCAAGGGCAAGGTGAGCCGCCCCCTGCGCCTGGCTGGTTGTGGGACGGCAGGGGTGGGGCAACTCAGCGCTGCTTCCAGGGTGTTGCTGAGGCCCTCCCAGAGTGCACCCCTGCTTCTGGAAGAACCCTTCCTTTAGGGCCAGGATGCTGGGGAGAGGGTGGTCCTGGGGTCAGGCTCCCAGGCTGTGTGGATCTGCTCTGGGGGGGTCAGTTGGTGGCTGTGTAGAAGGTAGACGTGCAGGCCTAGAAGACCCCGGTCCTCCCGGTACTGTCTCAGTGTGCCTTTTCTCCCCCAAGATCCTGTTCATCTTCATCGACAGTGACCACACAGACAACCAGCGCATCCTCGAGTTCTTCGGTCTCAAGAAGGAGGAGTGCCCGGCAGTGCGCCTCATCACCCTGGAGGAGGAGATGACCAAGTACAAGCCCGAGTCAGATGAGCTGACGGCAGACAAGATCAAGGAGTTCTGTGACCAGTTCTTGGAGGGCAAGATCAAGGTAGCAGCAGCGTCCCACAGTGCAGGGCCTCCCCGCCTTCTGGGCCAGGTGTCCCCGCCTTCCGTGGCCGCGCCCTCCCAGGTGTCAGAGCCCACGAGTCAGCGTGGAAGTCACCGTTCTTTCTAACGCCTTGGAGACGCCGAGACAGCGCTTGCTGTGGGACAAGTGTCCCGGCTGTCTTGGGAAGCCAGGGCAGGGGGCGGGCTCACTGTCTCCCAGGCAGCCCTGTGTGCGAGGCTCCATGTCCCTGCAACTCCTTGTGCGCCGGTGGTCTGTGGGCAGCTCCGCTCCCTGAGGGCTTTGCAGAGGCCCCTGCTGTCCCCGTGACTAGATCCTCTGCCCACAGCCTCACCTGATGAGCCAGGAGCTGCCCGAGGACTGGGACAAGCAGCCGGTCAAAGTGCTGGTGGGGAAGAACTTCGAGGAGGTGGCATTCGACGAGAAGAAGAACGTCTTTGTGGAGTTTTGTGAGTGCGCCGTTGGTGCCCAAGTGCCGGCTTCTCTCGGGGACTGGTGGGGGCAGCCTCTGGGCAGGGGGCCTGGGGACAGACCAGAGCTGCTTTCCTTGCAGATGCCCCGTGGTGTGGTCACTGCAAACAGCTGGCGCCTATCTGGGACAAGCTGGGAGAGACGTACAAGGACCACGAGAACATTGTCATCGCAAAGATGGACTCCACAGCCAACGAGGTGGAGGCGGTGAAAGTGCACAGCTTCCCCACGCTCAAGTTCTTCCCCGCCAGCCCCGACAAGACGGTGCGCTCCCGGGGC